TATATTATCAAGAATTTGGTTTTATCTCTCTAGAGAACCCTGGCTAACACAGGATGTTTTCGTGATGCACATTTTCTTTGCATAAAACTCTCTCTTATACGTGAGTTGCTGTGGATTTGTTTCTCCAAAGTACCTAGACTAATACAGAGGTGCTGTCAGCCATCCAAACAGATTAGTTTGAAAGATGTTTCCAAAAATGGAATTGCAGATTTGACAACTGTATCAAGTGTAATGAAGAGTACTTTGAAAGTGATAAGGTTGTTTTGTTAAAAAAAACAAGAAACCTAGCTTTGAAGAAAAAAAATTCCACGTTTTTTTGGCTACCCCCTCATATAGTCTTATTTACTTTCTGTAATAAATATGCCAGAAAATGAAAACTTGATTTCAACAACTATTAAATGTTTTAAATTAATAAAACAATTCTATATAGTTGTTCATTAAAAGTTTCAGCATATATTCAATATACTCTTTCATACCTAGCAGTCAAAAAAAGACGGGTGATAAATACTGATGTACTCAACTAATTTTCATGAAATAAAAAATGTAAAGAGAAAAGTGTCCTTATTTATATGCAATGATATCAAAGGGGAATGATCCAAAGTCTAGTCCCATGATAATTTTTCCTTTGTTTTATAAGTAAGAGTAAGGTAGAACACTTTCAATAAAGCTCTCAATAAAATATAAAATGTTATCTAAAGTGTTAGTAAAGGAAAGTAAAGCTTGCTTATTTATTGTTCAGTAGGAAAAATGTGTAATTATTAAATATATGAACTGGTTTCTTTCAGAAAAATCCACAGCACCACTTCTAATCCTAGCCCATCTTTATTTGAAGATTTTAGGGAATAATGCAGGAAAGCATGCTACCTTACAAGCAAGTGTACAAGATTTAATACTTGATGACACAATGGCATCATTTGTATAGAAATCAACTCCAAGTGCATTTCTTATTGACACTGGCTCAGCAATACAGAGACAGAAGCAAAAAGCGTGTATAACATGTAATTCTTAAGTAACTAGTTCAAGATAAGAACTGATTTCTGAATTAGGTAAGTATTTTTTTTAATTATATCCATAAAACCCAATAATTTGGTTGAAAACAGAAAGTTTATTTTAATCTTCTGTTTTTTCTTTAAGCAAGCTCAGTGACAATTTCTCATTTGAATTTCACACTAGTACCTTTTATTCTTCTGATACTTTTTAAACTTTTGGATATTTTCATTCCCTCTCTTGTTTTCTGTGCTACCATCACTTTCACTGGCCTGCCTCTTTCGTTTAGTCCTCTGATACAGGTCAGAGTCACTTGACTGTGGGTGAGTCCACCCATGTAAACTGGGTCCAGCCTCTGGATCTGGACCTCCGTGCCCTGAAGAAGACATGGAAGTGTTATTGGGAAGTGGTATGGTGGTTGTCTCATAGCAATGAAGCTGAAGCACTGGATTATTCCACTGCTGTGGGGAAGAAAGATATTTCATCTATAAAAATAAGCCCACAGATTAAAATAATACAAAGCTAACAGTTGCCATGCATTATATAAATATCTGCTGACTAAATTATCTGTATAGTAGAGATATGATCATTTTCTTAAATAGCTAACATAAAGATTCAAGGTAAGGTGTACCTTACCACAAAATGTATTACCATATAGGTTAGTACTTTATACTAATTGAAATAAAATGCAAGCTATGTATATAATTTTAAATCTTATAGTTGTTTTTAGTTGTTACCAAGTTAATTCTGAGGAAAAGTAAAAAGAAAAATGTTAAACAATAAATTTTCATTTATGTAATGAAATACAAATTATGTTATAATGTAATCAATATAAAAAATTTTATAATGATATTCAATATTAATTTTGTTTGCTGTATTAAATTTTGAGTGTATTCTATTCTTATAGCACATTCCAACTTTAACTCTTAATTTTATTGAAAATAAAACCAACCAACCAAACCCACTACCATAAAGTCAATTCTGACTCACGGTGACGTTATCAGACAAAATAGAACAGCTCCTCTTCACAAGAGCAGACATCATCATTTCCCTTCCACAGTGGCGCCTAGTGGGTTTGAATTGTCAACCTTATGGTTAGGAACCCAACACTTAATTAAAACATATTTGTTCTGAATTTACATTTCATAACACTTTCAGAAGGAAAAGTTGACTGACATGGCCAAGTTGATCCAAGCAACACGAATATGCGGGGTGTTTGTAAAATTTATGAAAAGAACCTTTATTTTGTTCTCATATCTCATTAATAAGGTGCATAATTTTGGTTGTCTTAGTTAAAACCCTTTGGCCTCATTTAAAATGATAATTAGGAGAAAGAGTAACAAAGTTCCCTTTAAATAATAAGCACAGTAATTAAGATTTCGAAGCCAGAACTATATTTTGAAAAGTCTGTGGAAATAATGCAGTTTACTCAGTAGATTGAGAACTTCTGTATAGGTTTGCCTTTAATTAAAAAATAATCCCATATTTTAAAATGCATGTCTACAGTAACAATGGCATAGTAGTCATATGTTGGGCTGTTAACGTCAAGGTCAGCAGTTCAAAACCACTAGCCCTCTGAGGGAGAAAGATGAAGCTTTCAACTCCCATAAAGTTACAGTTTCAAATATGCACAGGAGTAGTTCTCCCTTGTCCTACAGGATTGCTATGAATCATAATCGACTCTATGACAATGAGTGTGAAGATAATAAATTGTTTATTAGTAATTATATTACATAAGAATCACTAAAAGTGTTTCCTGCATCCCCATGGCTGCCTCTCCTCTGTTGAGGTGCTGACTGCCCGTGTTGGGAGTCAAGCTGACTGTGGAAGCAGACCACCCAGTGGGAGAGTGCTCTGGGAAACTCTGGCCTTTTCTGGGGTTTAGATTTGAGGAACAAATGTTTCAAAACCTAAGTGCGTATCAAACTTACCATACTGGGAGAAATAAAATATTCTTGAGGTAAAGCAACATTGCTAACTGGAAAGAATGGCATGGGTACTGAAGATCTGCCCACAGCTTCTCCATTTCTTTGGGAGAGATAAAAGATAAAATAATATTTTAGAAAAGGGAAACAATAAACAGCTGAAAATCATACATCCAATGTCCTTAATTTAAAGAAACAAAGCTGCTCTGCTAAAGTTCCGCTATGGTGAATTTAAAACCTCACCTTACACTTACACAAATAATTAGTTACTATGCTGATAATGTAGTTTTATACAGCAGTACCTTAAGTTCTAAATATTAAATCTTCAATAATTTAGAGTTGTCTTTGGCAGATAGGAAGATGTTACAACCATTTCAGATTTGTATTAAGGATAAAAAACACTTCAAATTAATTGAGCAAAGACAATAACTACCAGCAGTATAGCTCATCATCTCTCTTCTATAAAAAGCGGTAAGAAAGTTCCTCCAATTACCTTTGAATTAGTGTTTACTGGTAAACTAAAAACCATATGCTTTTCTCATAAATGACGAAACTTAATGGTGTTAACATAAAGAAGTTTTCTGATGACTTCCACACATTAATTAACAGAAAGGGATTATTTAACCTCAAAACTAGAGTGTCCCAAATTTCAGGTTTGCTTCTACAAAGATGCTAAGACATCTTTTCCAATGTTACAAATGCTGGCTAGATTCATCAGCTAGTCTATAACAGCTGACGCGCTCCATTTGCTGCTGTATTTAGTTTCATGGCTAGCCCAGGCACAAGGGAGTAAAACACAGTGCCTTGACATCCCCCAAATCAGCAGGGATCATGCTGTTATAATCCACAGGGTTCTCACTGCTGATTTCCAGAAGTCTATCAGCAGGCTTTACATGCGAGTATGCTTTAGTTTGGAAGCTTCACTAAAACCTGATCATCAAAACTCTCTCTCACTACCATGGAGTCAATGCTGATTCACAGCAACCCCCACGGGTTTCCAAGGCTCTAACTGTTTACAGGAGTAGAATGCCCAGTCTTTCTCCTGGTGGAGCTGTCGAACATGCAGATCACAGCCCACTACATAACCACTGTGCCCCCAGGGCTCATGGCAACATGAACGCCTCTACTGACAAAAGAGTGTTGGTTGCACATGAAGACCAACTTGGCCTCTGATAGGGAAGGTGAGAAGTCAACCACAGGACATCTTGTTGTTGTTGTGAGGTGCGATCGAGTCCTTTCTGACTCCTACTCACCCTCTATATACGACAGAATTAAATACTACCTACCTGTTCCTGCCCCTTCCTTACAATTTTTATTATGTTTGGGCCCATTGTTGTAGCCACTGTGTCAGTTCCCACCTGTCAGGGGGTCTGGACACCCTAGTATACCACAGCCACTCACTTTGTGTACAGTGGGTTAGCGCGTCAGGCTGCTAACCACAACGTCAATGGTTTAAAACCAGCAACTGCTCCACAGGAGAAAGATGAGGCCTTCTTCTATAGAGTTGGTCTCAGAAACCCACAGGGGCAATTCTGTCCTACCACAGGGTCACTGTGAGTTGGAATGCACACGAGGGCAGTGTGGTGGAGTTGGTTTGAACTGAAGAACTATTCAGGGGCCCTGGTGGTGTACTGATTCTGGGCTGGACTGCTAACTACAAGGTCAGCAACTGGAAACCAGCAGCAATTCTGTGGGAGAAACATGGGGCTTTCTCCCCTCATCATGAGTTCCAGTCTCGGAACACCCACCGGGGCATGTCCAGCTTATCCTGTAGGGTTGCTACGAATAGGAATCAACTTGGTGGCAACACATTTGATTTTAACTTTTTTTGGCATGGGTATTCCATACTTTAAATGCTACTATTACTTATCCTTAGAAGAGTAGGTGTAAAATGGGGAAAAGTATAATTTGCACAGACAGATGCAAAACGAGGGAGAATAAGAAGAAGCAAAGAGAGGGGCAGTTCCATCTATAAGTGGGCAAGGTTCAAACATGGAAGTCACTGAGAGAGTACATTTCCTAAGGGAAAAAAAAACCAAGATAGGTGATAAGTGTTAAAGCACTGAGGCCCCTAGCTGTTGATCAGAATGTCCAAAACCTTCAAATGAGCAGCTTTCATCACACCATGTAGTCATTTCTTAGACGATAAGTTGAAAAGTGATTGGGGAATAAGTCATGCAGGAGAGAAAAATTTTCAGTCAAAGGAAAGACAAAAATATCGCCATCTGATTAGAAGAGAGAATCCAAGGACCACAGAACGTGTGTGAGGAAAGGGATGGTGAAGAAACAGGAGAATGTATGAAAGGTAGAATGAAGTTATTCAGTGTGCACGATATACCTCCATAGCTGTGGTGGTAAGATTAGCACCCTGATAGAAATAACAGCAGCTTTTCTACAATACCCATTTTTCTGATTCTTAGAGCAGAGTTGTCTGCACCGAGTCGTATTTAAATTGGGAATGATTCAATAAAAGCGAAGGGCTTAAGAGACAATAAGAAGTACAACGGAGTCCATTTCGAAAGAAGACCAGTGACGCACAAGGCTATAATTTTGTCTGTCACTTCTAGAACATCACCATTACCCTAGTCTATTTCTTTTATAACACAACAAATATAAAAACAAGGTAATACCAGTAAGAGACAAAGGACGAAACACTTAACTTGAATCTTTTCCCATAGGTACTGCTTTAGATTGTGTATCCAATATAGTAGGGAACATAGAGCTTTACTGTCAGCTTCCACCTAGTCTTTTCTTTTCTCCCCAACCCCTAGCAATATTTTGTGCTTTCCTAATCCTAAAGAAAAACAAAGTATGTTCTTCACCTCAAATGAGATAAAATATGAAGCTTCATATGTACGACGTGATTCATAATTCTGCAGTGCTTTGCCAACACAGATGTAAGCCCACCCCACCCCCAACACTTTTGTTTTTGCGCTAACATTTATTGAATATTTTATATGTGTCAAGTACTTTAAGTACCTGGCATTTATTTTACAATTTGAGTCTCCGAATAGCCTTTTGAATTACTATCCTCACTGTAGAGATGGGCACAAAGTGGAGACGTCATTTAACAATGGTCATAGGGTAATAAAGTGGCTAAAAGGAATTTAACATTCAGACCATCTGAATTCAAGACCTATTTTCTTTCTTTTTTTTTTTTTTTTTGCTGTTCACTGAAAGCACTTTATTTCTCCTTACACAATGCCGTGTTGCTCAGGGAGCCTATTGTTTGCACCTAACAGTAGAAAACCAAAATTTGTTGTGTCATCTCAGAGTTGAGAACTGCATACAAAAAAACCCAACAAACTTACCTAAATGAAAAGAATGAGTAAATTTACAGGTTTAAATGCAAACCGTATTCCAACTCAAGGCAAGTAACAGCCTGGGCGAGGGGGTCCAGCAGCCAACATCAGCTAAAGAAAGGACACTTGGTCTCAAGTGCAAGGACTGGCTACTTCCGGTCCTCTGCTGGTCTCTGGGCGATCCTGGAGCCCACAGCTCTTTCCCTGAGCACCCGGCACACACCCTGCCAGGCCCCCTCCACCCCGGCTGCTGGTGCTAAGGTTGAAATCAAAGGATGTACAGGGCATTGAACACAGACCAGGGGGACAGTTAACGTGAATACAAGGTCGAGATCAGCAACAAGTCCGACGATCGGTGCTGCCGCCAGAGAGGGCTTCAAGGACAATTCTTTCAAAGGCTTCTTCCAGTTTCACGAGGCTAGCATGAGGGGCCGACCTG